CTGTCACTCTTGGTGCGTTCTACGTCCAGTGAAAAATTCTCGATGTCAAGATGGTTTCTTTGTATACCACTGCTGAAAGTAAGCTGAGCAACGCTCTCTGCCAAAAGACTTCAATAACACCAACAACGCGTCACTCACCACGCACAACACCAACACGACATCACTCACCACGTTTATATGGTCGCGGAAAACAATTCGGTCTAACACCTGGCATGAAGCGAATCACTTGCAGTGTGCTGCCATGTATCAACGAACGTAAAAATCAGGTGGCACAGCGTTGGCCAAGGTTTGCAAGAGCAAATCGCGAGCCTGCGTTACTCTCCGCGTACAATAAACGTTATGGGATTCATGCACTACAAAAGCACTGACGAATGCTATACGCACATAAAGCAAGGTAAGTTTCAACTGCAAAGATCAGACGATAACATTTACCTATCCAACGTGTCTGCAGAAAATCCAGCGAAGCTGACATGTGTATTCTGCACGCTATAATCGAACGCTCGCGTAGCCACACGCAAGTTGCCATTTTCGCGAAAACTTCGCCTCTCGCAAGAACAAATCAAATTTGTCAGATCAGGGACGGTCCGGTATATTCACTGATGCACCAAACATACAAAGTGGTTTGTGTTCGTTTCTTGCATAGCGTTAACTCTGAGGCAAGCACAGCCGAACAAGGGAACATCTGCCTACTGATCATTCTCGAGAGGCCGCTCTTGAATTTCGCTAGGTAGTGCAACAGTCTATGATTATTGCAAATAGAGTGTAGGTAAAAAAAATAAGATGTCCACGTGTTTTTTTTTTCTCTTTTGTTTGTGATTTACTTCTTAAAGGATATTTCACAGGTCACATAAAAGATTTGGTTAGACGCTGGAAGGTGTTGTGAGCCCAATGAAATGCTTTGTAGCATAAGAACTTTTTAATTGGTTGCTAACGAGCCAAGCCGTGATATCATGATGTGAGGAAGCAAGCTTGAAACTTATGCTGCTCACTCCGTGTAGACTTTGCAAGCCCAATTTATTTCCTGCCCTCTTCGTTACTGGAGTAACTCGGAGCCTCAAGATCACACTATGCAGAAGCATGAACAAATCATGCTCACATAAGGTTACATTCGCATGACATACCCAAGCCAGGTCATGCATGCAAGCGTTGAGTGGTTTCGGCATTCTGTGTATCATACTGTTTGTTTATGTGGGATGGATCTCTCTAGACACGCACATTTAGAGAGGCAAGCATGAATCCTTTATCCTTAGCATGATATGCAGCGTCGCACTTCTGGAACTGATCTGAGGGACGATGCACCACAAACGCACCAAGCGTTGGTAGGGCTGGCACCGGCACGATGTGGGCACAGTGAGAACACTAACGCTAATGAAATGAAGGCAACCTAGTCTCACATCTCGCTCGACACAAAGTAAATAAATAAATAAATAAATTATGTGCACAGATTTCATTGGCATATTTTAATATTTCTGTATGCCTTCACACCTGCATTCAAGCAACATATTGCACAAATTACAAGTCGGTTCGAATAATTGCTTAAATTTCACGTTCTACTTTGACTTACCCGGGGCCAGGGTTGTATGCAGAAACTTTTTTTTGTGGGGGAGGGGGGGGCACGGCTTTGTAGTGGCACTCTCTGGCCCTTGTGCAGTACCATTCCTTGTAGGTCACCCCCATCATGTGAAGGTGCCTGTGAGATGAAGGGCAAGCGGCATTCAGTGTGACGTTTTATCTCTTTCTGGTGCGTGTAGCATTGCAAATATTGGCAGAGGAGATCATGAACAACCAGTGTATGCATTTCTCTTAACAGCTCGAGATGCTCAAATCAAGTGAGAGGCCCTTTAAAGTGTTCACAGACAGAGAAGAAATTGACCTTCTGCAATTATACCAGGTTAATACGAGGTTAAAAGACCCTTTTGGCTTATGAGCAGTCTGGCTATTTGCTGCTTTTGTGATGTTTTTCTCAGCCATTCCGAAAATAAAGAGACCCAGGAGCGTGTTTATTTGACGGTGGTCACTTAAAGGGGCCCTGCAACACTTTTTGAGCATGGTCAGAAAACGCTGCCGATCGGTAGTAGAGGCTCCCGAGAACACGCAATCCAACAGTTATAGCACAGCATGCGACCTGGAACTCACAATAAATTATCAAGGTCAGCTAAAAATTGCGTTCTCTTTTCTCGACAAATATCGGAAGACGCTTGAAAATCACATATAGAATGCCCATCTATCAACCATTGGCTGATTAGAACATGGCGTGCTCGATCGTTACAGAGATCGCCACAAAAAGCCGTCACTTGTCCTGCGTGCGCGCGCGATCGCACTGAACAAGTGGGGTATTCTAAGAAAAAAAAAAAGAAAAAGTGCTCAAGGTCGCGAGGCGCGCGTGATGTTTTTTGCTTGCCTCTCCCATCGCTCCCTGCTTAGCTTCCAGCGCTTTCATTGGGATGAGAGAAGAGAGAATGTGATTGCAGCGTATCACAAATATTTGAAACTCCGCTCGTACTGGGCAGATTCTTAAAATTTTGCGGCTTTGAATTTGTGAGGCAATAAGCTCTTCTAATGAATTAATTCCATGGTTACTCAAAAAAGTGTTTCAGGGCCTCTTTAACTCACCATGCGGGATAATAAAAAATAGACCATGTTCTGCAAACCTTGTGGGAAAAAATTGCATGGTATGCTTAAATTATTGATGTCTTTGTGCTATCTTAAACTAAAACATTTTTTTGCTTTGCTTTTCTATTATAGACACAGGTCTAGCATGTATTTCTTCAAAAATTTGAATTTTTGTAAAATTTTATTGTTTAATATTTACGAGTTTTGGGGCCTAAAACTTTGTTTTGCCTGCCTGTTTTTGCACCTAAAACCTGATTCTTTAGTGCCTTTGAAAAATGACCATTTGCCTGCCCTGGCCCCTGTTGTAAATAAAGTGGTCAAAGAAACTGATAAGCACTGAACACTACACACAGAAGTGAGGCAATCCGCTGGCATGAGTTAGATGAATTGAAGTTTTTCACAAAATGATACAGGCACGGCGTGCTTTCATTTGAATTTCGCGACTTCCTTGTCCCGGGTAGTTCCAGTTTGACAACAAAATGGTCGCTTTTCATGCACACCAGATATGAGCAGTTTTCTATTTCAACATTGAAATTCTATCATGAATATTTCAAACTGTGTGCAAATTTTGTGATTTCTAAAGAATATGTATGCCATAAATCAGCACCCACTAAAGCTTTGTAAAAGCCCCACCGCGGTGGTCTAGTGGCTAAAGCTGCTGACCCGCATGTCGCGGGTTCGAATCCCGGCTGCGGCGGCGGCATTTTCGATGGAGGCGGAAATATTGTAGGCCTGTGTGTGCTCAGATTTGGGTGCACGTTAAAGTACCCCAGGTGGTCGAAATTTCCGAAGCCCTCCACTACGGCGTCTCTCATAATCATAAGGTGGTTTTGGGACGTTGAACCCCACATATTTATATCTATAGAAAGCTTTGTAAAATAAGCACCTGCCCTCAAGTCACTAATTAAGAAGTTAATTAACTAGTGTTTGTTGGTTGCAACAGTATCGTTGAAATTGCGGCAAAGTATTTCCTCCTCAACCTAAAGTTCGTTAGAACTGTAGCAGCTTGGGCTAGTTGGTATGGCATGACGATAGTTGTAGCGCGATAACAAAACGACGACACAGAGACAAGAAGGACACGAAAGACTCGTGTCTTTCGTGTCCTTCTCGTCTCTGTGTCGTCGTTTTGTTATCGCGCTATAACTATCGTCATGCTAAAGTTTGTGGCAGGAAATGACAGTAGCCTTGCTGTCATTGAACTTTGGTAAAAAAAAATGTGTAGTGTTTAAAAATTTACCCTGTATCACCCTGTATATTTAGTTATATTACTGTACTTTCAGCTGCTTCTGTCCTCTCCTTCTCTTTGCTGTTCTATTCTCCTTAGCTTTGTTGGTGCAGCAGGCTAACTAAAGGAGCTTTTGTATAGTTTGTATGACTGGCAGCTTAAATTTAGAATAGGCACATGCAATAGGCATCAAAACAACTTTTTCAAATATTTGGGAGTAATGAACTTTTTTTTTAATATTTATGACATATATTTGCTTTGATGTCTAAGGCTGAATGTCCTCACGCACAGTTTCTCAGGTATTCAACTTTTCATAATGAATGAATATACTTTTTTTTTTTTACTTAAAACTCACCTCAAGTTTGGTTTCAAGGTAGAACAGACTGCACTGCAGTGAAAGGACATCCTCAGGTGCCATTTGTGCTAAATGAATGAATGAAGCCACACCTCAACAAAATTTGCATACAATTTAGACCCTGACCTCTGAAACTTTTATTTAGAATTTTACTACAGGTTGTACATGCTGGTTTGGGTAAATTTTAAAACATAGTATATTTTACACCTTATAACCTAAAGACCTTATTATAATGGGCCAGAGAAGGAATAAAATGATTGTCAAAAATAACTTCATCTAGTCAAGTTATCAAAATAGCATCATTATCTTCTGTATTCATTCATTATAAAGGTGTATTTGTTGCACTGTAATTGTGGCAAAATAATAATGCTCATTATCTTGTGGTTTAACTCTAGTTGCTTGATGATTGAATATTCTACATTTTGAAGCACCATACAAGCAGAAAATTTTGTCGCAACACTTGTAGCACAATTTGAAATGCTCATGCTCAAGGTACTTTTTAGTACTAATAAATTTACACGAACGAAAGAATTTTTTTTTCACACACACAGTGTCAGTGACATAAACAAAGGAATTTCTATCTTATGGTTATTTTCATACATGGAATACATGATAGCTTTTTTCCTTTTTTTTTGTCATTCTGGTACTTAAGTTGTTCCGCTCATGTCAAACTGCTGTTGGACATGGTTGGGTGGGTGTAAATCTTACTAGTACTACACGCTCAGCAGAATGGAAGGTGTATACATTATGCATAGCTTTGTTGAAATCCTCAAAACCTTGTGCTTTTCATTCTTGTCAATTGTGCAGTGGAAACGGAGGAGCTACAAGGTAGGCTGAAGGCTCTACGGGAAAGAAACAGTGACCTGGAGCGCAAGCTTAGCACAGCCAGCAGCCAGAGTCAGGTTCAAGAAAAAGTAAGCTGCATCTTAACCACAATAGCTTTCTGTAGGCTTTTCAGTAGGGCTGTGCGAGTATTCGAAAGTTTTGAATATTCATCGAATATTGCAGTTGTAGTATTCGATAAAGTTTGCTGTCTGTCTGTCTTGATAACCACATATTCGAAAGTTTCAAATATTCGAACTAACCCGAATATTCTTTGAATATTTGATCTTTATGAATTTTCTGTCACATATGTCACTGGGAAGAACTTCCGATTTTGCCCATTTGCAATAAGTGCATCAACAGTAGATCATGCAGTAATTACTACGACTTTATGCGAGTGCGATGATGCTTGAAGAAAATTCACAGGAACATGATGATGGCTACTGACGAATACGGTGGCACGTCATTGCGACAAACCTACCGGCGAGAAACGTTTCAAACAATCTAAATCATGTACTGCCTGCTCGGTGGCAGTTTGAGTGGCTTAGCTTTTTAGCGCTGTTACTGTTCGTGTAAGTGTACTAACCATGCCGTCTGCTGCCACGCCCTTGTGCGCGGGACCGCCTCAGTAAAAGACAGTTAAAGTCTACCCTTAGCATGATAGCGGGGGTTAAGGGAACAGCGTTACCGTTCCACAAACATTCGTTGCGGACAGCACTTTATAGTTTATCGGGATAGTGTTTACGTGGTTTCCGTGTCTCAGCTGAGATGGTGGTGTCTCCTAGCGGAAGGTGAATATGTTAAAAAGAGAGTGAAAAGGAAAAGAAAACGAGAATGTTTGCCTGTGTCACAGCGCGAAGCAACGTTACAAGTTTTTTTTAGTAATAATAAAAGTAAATAAATATGAACCACGTACCAAATGCTAAAATATTTATGTTGCCGATTTGTTTACATCAATCTTCTAGTTAGGCCTAGAAACACTTGAAATGAGCTGTCTCAAAAAACTAGGAGAATGAGGAAATCTGAAAAGCGAGCAGTGTTTTCCTTGCCCGGAGGTGCTGCCTTGCGTGATCTCTTCACTAGACCAAAACATGGTGATACAGTCGGATGTGCTGCCAGCTAACATGGGGGAGACGGTAGTATAGGCCACTGCAAAGGGAGCTTGTCAGCATTTCTCATGGTTTTACAAGTATTTTGTGTTAGTGCTCAATGAGAGGAATGGTGTCTACGATAAAAAGAAAACTCTGAGAGCGTGTTTCGTGTCAGGCACAGCGAATAGGGGTACGGAACATGCATGGCAAAGGTGTCACTTTTCGCTGCACTGGCATGTTATAGATAGATTTGCAGTTTGGAAGCTTGCCATCCCCAAGGCTGCTAGAGCTATAATTTTTTTTTTATTGTAGGGCCAAAAAGGAAAAAAATTATATCGAAGTGCTCCGGCTCGTATCACCAGTGTAATGGGGATGAAGCTATACAGAAAAATTTGGCCATCTAAAAAAAAAAAGCAAAACAATATTGCTCAAGCTAAAAGTAGTGAGCCCGAACAAGTACTGCAAAAGCTTTTACGCATATTTATGACAAACACCAGCAGCTAAATTACTAAATGCTTTGTATAGCTCTTTAAGAACTGAACGAATGTTTCAAAATGTACATTCATCTCTAGTTCCGTTTTCTTTTTCAGTTTTACTTCATTATATTTTTATCGAGTTTGTAAAGCAATGCAGCAATGCTTACATTGTGCATTGTATGCACAAATAACAAAAATTCACACATCGTGCCCATATAAAGCATTGCAAAACAGCTGCGAAGTTAGATAACTAGAAAAGTGAATATTTAAGGGCTTTTGAACCAACCCGAGTCACTCTACAACTTCACACGCAGATAATGTAAAGCAGATTGACACATGTTTGCCACACATTGCACCTGCATTTAAAGATAGTAGGCGGCTTGTTGCAGAAATTGGCTGCGTCGAACATGTAAGCAATTGGCAAAATATGTAGTAAAGTTTGTGTACATCACGATCGAGTAATTATTTTATTTTGATGGGAATTTAGCCCTGGCATAAGTGAAAAGAACATCCACCAGTGTACTTTATCATAATTTAGTGCTAATTAAATTTGGTTGAAGCCATGAAACTTAGTGCTACTTCAATTGCCCCTGTGATAGTGTGACCTCAAGCGTAATACCAGTTTAGCATTTATTAAAAGGTAAGGAACAAATGGACAAGACTACTCACACTATAAAATAACAATTAATAGTTTGAGACAATACAATTTATCAAAGGTTATTGTATGCTAGTGCTAAAATGCTAGAAAACCTTCGAAATCATATAATGTCCTGCTTGAAGTAGCATTTTTTTTTACTCCGGAATTGTGTAGATAAATATTATGAACATGAAGATCATTTTGCCTTCACCAAACATGTAAGCAGCGGTTCATTCGGAATAACACTTCATTGAAGAATGGTTTCATTATGGAAGGCTGAGTTATGCCTGATTTTTTGGGAAATAGCGCTAGCATGGGACATAGAAAACAGCGCTAACATGCAGGCACATGCAATTAGCCACAGTAAAGCTTGTTGCGTGAACGTGGCTTTTGAGTGAAGCGTATGAATCAACTTTACTTGTTAAACGGCTGCTAGGGAAAACATTGCAAAAACTGTCTTGCTTTGGCGTGCAGCCAGGGAAAATGAGTACGATGCTATTGCACGTCTTACTTGCTTAGAAAGAAAAACACAAACACGTGTTTTGGGAGGAATAGCCGGAGCACACGCTGGAAACGTCACCAGGTTAAAAAAATAAGGGGCAAAGTTTACGGCTTATCTTCCTTCAGCATTCAGAGTTCCTCTCTGTGTGCAGCAAAGGATGCAGCAATACGTCGGCATTGTGATTGTCAGCCAATGCATGTCTCACGTCAATATGCCTTACGTATATGTATATGTAAACACACGTGGACTGTTGGTACTGTGCCGCACTCGAGCCTCTAACATGGCGGTATGCACACGATGGCCGACAGATATAAGCAATTTTGCATTAGGTCTATAGTTTCTGCAGTGCATTATGTGACTCCATTTTAAGGCAGTGCTTCTATTTTAATTGTTTGACCATTTCATTTTTGAATAGTAGTGCATTCTGCATTTGCAGAGCACCAAGGACTCCCAGAGAGAAGTGGATCGTCTCAAGACAGAAAACCACAAGCTTAGGTGTGTAACAGAAAAAGCTCCCAAAATTACTGTTTGGTCATTTAGAGCAGCATCTGACTTTATTTTTACTCTTTCCACCTGTTTTTCTTTATGCTTTTCTAAGCAGCAAGACCATAGAAGAACTAAGGCAGGAGCTGGCTGAACTGTCTGAGAAACTCGACAGAAAGGTGCGTACTGTTCTTTGCCCAGCATTTGCAGTGTTTAATATTCAAGTGTGGTAATGGTGTAGTTAATCCTTTTAGCTGTCACTACTTCTCTCACTATTAAACATATATGTGCAATTTTTTTTAGTGCTCTAACTTGACTGCTGAAAAACAATGGTGTTTTCTTATTCTTTGAGTGTAATTTTTATTTTATTTTATTGAAGGGGCCCTGCGACAGTTTTGTAATAGCCTTTCTTTAGCACTGGAATGCATGTAGTAATGATTGTTGAAATGAATACTACAAGAATGATGCAAATTGTTACAAGAAGTGAAGTTATGAGTCTTCGAAATGGTGATATTGTACTTTACTAATGTGTGAAAAATGGCGTTGCTCTTTAGTGTCCCTATTAAGTGCTGAGCTTAAATTTTAGTGCACAATAGCTACAATCTTGCTTGAAAAGAAAAAAAAGTTTGATCCTTAGTGTCTATGGCCTTCTTTCTTTTGTGCCTGCAGTCAAAAGAGGCTGAAGAAGCGCAACAAGAGCTGACCAGGGTCCGCCAGGATTTGTCAATGGCTCAGCTGTATGCCCAGCAACTCGGGGGTGGCCAAGCGTCTGAGGAAGCACTAACTCGCATGGAGCAGCTGCACCAGGAAAAACTACATTTTGAGCGACGTGCTGCTGAGGTATGTTTTAGCATATTATGTGTTCTTTTCATTTGTAATAAGGGCAGTAGTTCTGCCATTTGTTTAAGGCACTCAGAAAGTAAGCAGTTGAATGTAATGACGCAACTTATGAAGGGGGTTCGTAAGTACTTAGCCTTCAAAAGAAAAACGAAAATATTGGAATGAGTGTTACTTTCTCAACATAGTCCCCTTTAAGCTCTATACACTTGACCCAGTGATCCTCCAACTTCTTGATCTTGCCAAAAAAATATGTTTTATCCTGAGTTGCTAAGTAGGCTTCTGTGGTGGCGATAACTTCTTCGTACGACGGAAATTTTTGTCCAGCGAGTGATTTTTTCTATTTTGAAAACAAGAAAAAATTACTGGAGACCAAATCTGGAGAATACACTGGATGGAGAACCGCTTTGTAGCCCTGTTCGACCAACTGACTGCGGTGACAGTAGAGGTGTGAGCTGGGGCGTTGTCATGATGGAAGAGCATCGTTTTCCTCACCAAGTGTGGCAGTTTTTTTTTTTGCAATTTGGCGTCGAACTGGCCCAGTGATTTGGTATAGTAGTATCCTGTCAACGTTTTGCCCTTCTCAAGGTAGTCGACGAGGATCAAACCTTGATAATTCCAGAAAACAGTGGCCATCACCTTTCTGGCTGATGTGACACTCTTCGCCTTCTTCAGAGCATGTTCTCTGGGTTCAGTCCACTGTTTCGACTGTTCTTTGTTCTCTGGTGTGTACTAGTGGATTCATGTTTCATTGACGATCACAAAAGGATGCAGGAACTTCTTCAGATTATGCCTAAACAGCTTCAAACACTGCTCTGAATTGGTCTCAGGGATGCACTTTTGTCCGGAGTGAGCAAAGGCAGCACTCATCACGCAGACAGCTTTCTCACACCCAAAATTTCATGCAGGTGATGACCCACGCAGTCTTTTGAGATGCCTACTGTCTTACCTTCAGTCAGTCGTGGACTTGCCAGAATGAGGTCGTTGACTTTTGCCACGTTATTGGCTGCGATAGCTGCTTGCGGGGCCCCTGGGCGAGGCTCATCAAAAACCGACCTGCGACCATGTTTAAACTCGTTGAACCAATTTTTGACGGTTGCCAACGAAGGAGAAGACTCATCATCGACGGCATCCAGTCGCTATTTGATTTCATTGCGTAATTTCCCTTCCAAAAACAAGAAACGAATCACCAACCAATATTGCTTGTTTTATATTCTTTAATGGACACACGAAAATCATCTACTTCCTCAAGCGGCCAAAACAAAACTACAAGCATGGTTCGTCTAAACCGTTGCATGTACCCTCTAAGAGAGCGTACTAAACGTCAGTAAATGTCTCATGCTATAGCGTCACGCTCTCACAGTGAGGCCAAGTACTTATCAAACCACCCTCGTAAAAAAGTTTTTGAAGGCTGATCTTCTAGTATGAAAGGAAAAAAAATTGACAGATGTTTCATTCTTGTAACACAAAATATGAGGGTGCACGGGGCCCTTATAGCTGGTGTCCTCCTCTGCTGATGTTGCCGCTTCTGAAGAGACATGCCGCTTTTCAACCTGTAGGACACTTCTAGGCAGAATGTACCTGTCAACCTTTCTATGCAACAGCATGTTTGTTAGCAGGAACCAACTGCACACGTACACAGTTTACTCTCTTATGCTGCTGTTTCACTTGCATGCCACTCTTCCATCTGTTTGATGCAGCTGTGGAAACCACGTGCTTGCCTTGCTGCACATGGGCATGCTGCTGGAGGGAAAACTGACTGCACATGTACGCGGTTTGCTCTCCTTCGCAGCTGTTTTGCTGCAGTGGGCTTTCTTGGCACCTCTTGCGAAGTCTTGCAAAGGCACGTGCTTGAGTCTCGTGGAAGCAAAATGACAAAACCGACAAAATGACAAGTCTCGTGAAAGCAAAAAACTATACCACAAAGCTGCAAAGGAAATCATGAGTATGTTAATACAAATAAGATTTGGGATAAATTGCCAGAAAAACTGCATTAGTACATTGTGGCTCTAATCGTAGACATCGCCAAGGTGGGCCCAGGCCCAGCCCAAGCTTGTGTTATTAAACCTGGCATGGGCCTGGTCTGAGCCTAGTCCAGGCATTCACTGCTAAGATTAGACAAAGCCCACTTGTGTGCAGGTCAGACCCAGGCGTGGTGGAAAACTTTTTTGTCATGATTTTTATTATTGCAGGTCTGTCCTTTGTGCCTGATGATCAAGTGAAACTTCGGTGTGTATGTGCGTTGAAATGCTGTTCTACCCACAGTGGTATAATAGCATTTGAGCTACTGTGCTGCTGAGCCCTAGAGCAGGAGTCTCAAACCCACCTCAGCTGGTGGGCCGCAGCTACAAATTTTAGTCGCATAAGAGCTGGTGCAAAAAAGATTATGGGATGGGGCAGAGTGAGCTGAAGCAAAATGTCACCTATCTTTGCCATTTGAAAGACCATGCACATCTCATCCAATATATGGGTTCTTTCTGAAAAGGATTTGATGTTATGTTTTAAAACATAAGGATACTGATTTCCACATTCACTAAAATCCGGATGCTGATTCTGAAATACAGTCGAGCCCGCTTATAATGAACCTGAGCTTGACACGGCATCCGTTCGCTGTACACCGAAGTTCGCAGTAAATGAAACATAGCTTTTAAAAAAGTTGCGAGTGAAAACACAAAGTATTTGCCCCAAAAAGTCCATGACGCACGTGTTTGGATAAGCAGAAGCGATAAGGGCGGTCTCAAATTTGTTTCAAACAGCAGCGTGCTCTTCACCGAGGCCCGTGGCATAAGCTGCATGAGGCACTGGCTCTAAAGTTTCATCATTCTTGCAGCCCGATTCCTCCAAATCGCTTTTGCCGCATACTTAATTCACAATGCCCTAATCCGGGCACGGTTTCGCAGTGTCCTCATCATCATCGGCTGTAATTAAACCATGGCAACTGATGATCCACCCGCTCTGCCAGGTCGGAGTCAATGACGCGCTGTCACAAATCGTCGCCAAAGTGGTCCTCTTCAGAAGCTTCAGGCTCGGCATCGGGTCTGATGCCGGCGAAGTCGGCCTCACGAAAACGGTTTCGCGCGCATATAGCCGTCACCGCCGCCCACGAAATATTCACCATCTCCACAGCTGAATACCGGGACGCATGAAGCGGAAAAATGGCTGCCAGGTGGTCAACGGCTATAAGCAAGCGCTCCGCAGTGAGGCACCTAACGCGCGAATTACGCCCAAGTCAAGCGGTAACACTTTCGAAGTTTTGTTGAGCGGCAGTAAAAAGCGTGCAAAGCCTCCCGCCGTCCGCCATGCTGACTACCCACGCACACCGCGAGCAAGCAAGACGCGCACTTTCCGGGCCCGTTTCTCATCAGAAAACAAAACTTCTGAATTCGAGTCAGCGTGGCTGGCATCGTGCAGGGGTGGAGATGGGCGAAGGAGTTGTGCCAAGAGAGGAGAGCCGATTGCAAGAGAAGGGCAAGGAGTTGCGATAGAGTGAAGAGAGGGGTGGATACAGCGGGAAGAGACCTTGAAAACCAAAACATGCGGGAAGGAGGCAGGTCGGGCAGCTTGCTTAAATATCCGCGAAACGCGCAACTCGCGTGTAGACGCGCGCAGAGGTCTAAGCACGACTGCCTGGATCAGCGCGCGCAGCAATGTTCAAAGAATTGTGTTGTTGCGCCGGCGGACTTGCGTGGCCTCACCGACTTCGATATTTCATGATTCGTTCTGTGCAAATTAACAGCCACTTTTATGCTTCCGCACACGTGCGGAGGGCATGCTGAGCCGAGTGCAAAGTGAGTGAGAACAGGTCCTAAACACGAAAAAAATAGCGAATTATCAGAGTGGGTGGGGTAGCGTACGCACATGCACTAGAACTACTAGAGCGATACGATAAGACAAGACGCAGATGATCGAATACAGATGATGTTGGCAAACGGTCTGGTCACTCCAGGCCGGCGAGGTCAATGACAGTACCAGCGATCAAAAACAGGGGAGATGGCCGACCGGTCTTCGATCGATGAGCGGCAGTGCGAAAACAAGGGCCGCATCTCTGGCAATGCAAGGTGCTCAGAGTAGTGGGGGGGACAAAGAACGGAAGGGTGCGTAACAAAAAGTGGTCGGGGAGAGTGGCAACTAGAGGGGTGCGGAGGCAGGGTCGGTGTTTAACAGTGAAAATTTATGGACACCTCGCCGATGCTTCATCTGTGGTCGAAAGTGGTTGCCTGGAAAGTCGGCAGAGTGCCGACTTTGTTCGCTGTAACCGATCAGCAGCGCTCGTAGACGTTCGTTGTAAGTGCGATTTTGTGTCGTTGAAACAATGTATATTGTTACGGGGAAAAGGCGTCAGAGTAATATGCTTACTATCGATTTAACAAGCAGGCATACAAGATGGAACCCAATCTGCACGAGCTCACCCTAAACATTGTCCTCTTTTTTATGATGTTCATATGTGGCACCCCGTAGCATCACCCCCAGCCACAAAGGCACCATCTCGGTGCTTGGTTGGTCCGAGTAATATCGCTTTAGCCGAGTGACATGAACAACGTCAGAACACGATCGCGCGCTGGTGGCATTAAGAGGTTCAATTTCATATGTCAGGTCGGTGACTTGGCGCACCATATGGTACGGTCTGGAGTACGGTGAAGTCAGCTTTTCGAACAAGCCAACTCGCCGTGACGGCGTCCAGAGAAGGACTGTGTCACCTTGACTGAAGTGGACATCACAATGGCACGCGTTGTAGACCAGTCGTCGTCGTTCTTGCAAATCGCTCAGACGCAGGCGAGCAATCTCACGTGCCTCTAGAGCTCTAGAGATCACATCACGGGCATATTCTGACGTGTGGCTAATGGCAGGAAGGAGCGTGTCAAAAGGCAACATAGGTTCTTGTCCGTAGAGGAGGAAAAATGGCGAGAAACCTGCAGTATCATGCCGGGACGTATTAAAAAAATGTTACAAATGCAAGGGTGGAGTCTCAGTCACAATGATCGGAAGAAACGTACATGGTGAGC